ACAGCTGCACGCAAATAGTCGTCTCTTGGACACACACTTGATATAAAAATCTTGGTTGCTGGATTAATAGCTTTAACTTTGTTAACAGATGATGCGACTGCAGTAAATTTATGTCTTGAAACAACCCAAAAAATACAAGTTGTGTATATTGTGTATATATTAACCTCGAACCTCGCTGAATGACGTATTCTAAATACACAGAAAAAACATATTTATGTTCTGTAGCTGTGTCATAATATGTTTTTAATGAATATTTATATGTGTCAATAACCAAGGCACTGTTTACTTGTTTGCAAAAGAAATGAGAAAAGTTCAGTCCAAAACGGTGGATAGAAGTAATAAAACAAATTCTTTAAAATAAAACGAACTGGGTCTCTTTTCCGGTTAACATAAACTTAATAAATGTAGTGAACAATGACCGGAAAAGAGCACAATGTTGTTCATATGAATATTGAAATGGCCGGATATTAAAAATAGTTGACTGCATCTCAAATATTTGCCTAATATTACAATTATTTAACAATAAACGCATTCACATACCACATACTTGTTGATATATTTAGCTGCAACAATACCATAAGCTAGTAGAAACAAACACGGATGTTTTTCATATACTGCACTTGTTGAGTTATGAATGCTCATCACAGTCAATATCAACACAGTTGCTATAGGTACGATTGGACCTATGGCGTGGCTGCCCTGCAATACAATTCAACGATATATTGGTAAGTGTGAAGTTTCACGATACTATTTACAAGCAGTCAAGCTAAAATGTAATAACAACCTCGTTGAAAATAAAAAAAAGAAGTGAATTCGAATATCAATGTTCAAAAGTAAATGTTAATTTACAACAATTTTAATGCATCTTACTTACTGAAAGCGTTTGCATTTTGTTCTCCCTGCGATGAGTAATTATAATATAAAAATAACAATAGCAATTATATATAAATAACAGTGTTGCAAACAACAATCCAAGTTGTTTAACCTCAAGATCAATATATTCAACCTGAAACAAAGTAAACAAATTCGAGCCAGTTAAATAAAAAATAGACAACGGTCACAACTAATATTACGCATATGACTAAACAAATAATCCAATAAAATTCCATCTGCTATCAAAACAAAATTTAAGTTAAATATTTTGTTTCATCAAATTAGTATTATGATACCTTGTACGCCCATATTCCTGGACCAAAAACCGCTGTCAATAAAAATATGATTATCACTACCAGTTGAGCTTCTGTGACGTCAAATCTGTAAATGATAACCGCATGAATACCAAATATTATCAATTTCATATTTATTGAAGTCTACTCTTGAAAACAGGTTTATTATTATATCAGATTAGAAACATTCATCCTTTTTGTATGTATACGTAGAAACTAGATGTCCCATAGTACAACATAATGAAACTTGAACTATATAAATGTACCCAATGCAACCCAATCTAATTTCCCATAAATAAAGGATATTTTGAAAAACGAGCAAAATATAGAAGAAAAACTACCTGCAAAACATGACAACCCCTGTCACATATGTAGTCCAGTGTACAACGTAAAACATGAACATCCCAGATGCCCACATACAAAATAGTAGCGTGGAATGGTGTCCTAGCTGCATTACACATCCAAATGATATCAACAACAATACTGTAACAGTGAAACAATAAAATGACATAAAATATAGCACTAAACACTTGACACTTTAAGGATTGATTCAAAACGGACTATACAACGTGATTCCCCCAAAAACTATAATAGGATGCAAAATATAACAATGCTAGTATACCATTACATTATTATGCAGAGTATCACACTGTCGCTCATATTGACTTTTATACAAACAAATAATAATAATAATAATAATATATTCGGAGGACTGAGGTTGGAGGACTTTGTATACTAACAGCAATAATTTATATACAATCTGATCCTTTACTGGAAGCCAGTTAAGTGAAATCAAAGAAGTTGTAACATGGTCAAATTTTCTTTTTTTTTCAAAACAATCTTAGCTGCTACATTATGTGCCATCTGCAATTTAGATAATTGGACATGCAATAAACTATTACAGTAAGCCAGCCTCGACCCTACAATAATCTCTGTAGTTTTTGTCTAAAGATATTTTCTTTTCTGGGAAATCCTATACTGATGAGAAATGATGATTTTGTAACCTGACTAACATGACTTGCCATATTCAAATGTTTATCAAATATCCCGCCAAGGTTAAGTACATAACGTCTGACAGATAATAAAGTGTAATCCACTTCAAAGGAAATCAAATTTATTTTTTTGATATGCTGAGGCATGCCAAACTTGCAATCGTTTTTTTAACCTTGTTCTGTAGTGACAATCATAGTGTTATATAGTGAAAATCATAGTGAACACTTATACCAAGTATCAATGTTACTACTGACATAGTAGTCATAGATCATTAAGGTAAGTGATAAAGTAAGTAAGTAATAAAGAGTAATGTTCCAAGGATCCTATCTGGTACGCCGGTTGAAGTAGTTAACATTGTAGGACAATTTGAGATCGATTATTGAGATGTGATTTGAAAGCACAGGAGACGTTTCATCACATTTGCAAATGGATAATTCATCTAAAAGCATATTATGGTCTACAAGGTCAAATGCCTTTTAAAGATCAAGTATTACTACTCCATTCACATCTTTTTTTCAATAGATTTAAGCCGCTTGTTGGATAATTTGATTTGTATCACAAGAATAGTATTCGTGCACCTGATTGCGATTTGTTCAACACATTATTAACATGATGTGTTTAGCAACTTGATAGTCCGCTGACATAAGTTATTATTAAATAACAAGAAAACACGTCTTACCACTTACCATTCGAAACAGAATCGAACCCATGATCAAACATATCAGACAAAGACGCCAGAAAATCGATTTTTCTTTCTTGTTTACCATCCAAACTATCGACAGTTTGGTAAAGGAATAGTCCAACTGCACACAGGATGTAAACCCAACTAGGAGCCTGTAAATGAATGGTGGAACGATTTGTATATATATAACAACTTTATTTAGGTTATGCCTATGAGACACGATATCATTGTGAAGCAACGAATAAAAGAACTGTATCATTAACCATTGTGTATGTGTGTGTGGGGGTATGTATGATAGTCAAGGTCACATTGTGCGTTTGTGTACTGTGTAATATAACTACATAAGAAAAACTCCTTGCATGAATTACAAGATCTTGAAAGATTTTAAGTCAAAGGGAAATGTCATATACGTATTTGTTAAATAACTGCGAGGGAAGACACATGTACCTGAGTTTTCCTAAAATAACTGTACCATTGTGCCGACGCAGTTACACGTACGACAATGGCATTTTGTAGAAGGCTTTTTCAATTTAATTTAATACAATATTTAAATTTCTGTTATTATATTTTTTAATTATGATAGCACTGTTACACAGATGGAGTGAGATATTATCATTGTACTCGTCTCATGTAGACCACGGTCCTCATATGTGAAGGGTTACGTTTGCTCACGCTTTTCGAAGCACCTTTTATTTATACCAAGAGATCTATGTATCATTGTTACACTGATTCAACCAAGTTTTGAAATGCATTGTCGTCGTAATTAATCATGTTTTTTTTTCGTGGTTATGTGCCTGTATTGGCAACTGGTGTTTAATGGTCTATGGTTTTAATGTTGTTTTAATTTACTACTGCATGAAACCCTTACTCGAAGACTTATCTCGAGTAAATTTGTAGTATATGACAATTAAGTGTCAATCTTAATAATTGTAGTGATGTGTAGTTAAAGGAAAATTGAGAAATAGGGAATTTGTAAAAAGAAATAAAAGAGACCATTATAAGAAAACATTATTTCATAGTTTCGTGACAAATCGGCAGCTGACGTTGTTTTCTGCCTCTGTGCAATTATACAACTATGCATATGATGTTTTAAAAATGATGGTATTTATTCAGGATGAACAAAACTAGAACAGAGTAACGAGGCTCGTTGAATTAACCACGCACTTTCTTGTTTTTCATTAAACACGCCGTTTTAATTGAAAGCACATTACTGCTATTAAAAAGGCGTGTATTATATTATAAAAACAGTAGTATTTTAGTATTTTTAGAAAAGTTTTGATAAAACTTAATCATAATGTAAACATACAAAAACGTTTTTCAAAATAAAAAAATGGATGTTTAATACGGGGATATAAATGTGTCATTGAAGTATTTATTGATTATTTGAAATTTATTGACATTTATAGGCTAATGCAACTTCATGCAAGCAGTATTATTAACAAATTGAGTGAAAATTCACGGAACTCGTGAGTATACATTATGGTATATGTGCTAACTAGAAAATCACTGAAAGTAACGTAATTCAACGCATAATGAGATTGGTCATGACATTACCTTCAAAAAAATGTTATGTCAAGCACCAACCTATATGCTTTTACCAACTTAAGTATAATTAGAAATTGAGACACGTGGTTAATTAAGTACCTCGTGGCCTAGCGACTTGTAATTAATCCGCGTATTTGGTGAACGATGTTTGTAGTGCCCATCACAACTGAGCACCTCCTAAAACAAACACACATGCAATGTTTCAACCAAAAACCCCTGACTATATAAGTGTTCATATACAGGACACTTTTGTATGAAGTCTATGGTATGCATCTATAATACACGCGATGCTTATCATCGACTGTATGCAGCATATTTATTAGAAACAAAAATGCCTACACACGTCACCATTGTCAGCAGACATACTGTGTATGTAGCGTTACATTTATTGATATCAGTATTATAATAATAAACAGCATTATATATTCATATATTTTGCGAGTGTGCATACAAGTCACAAGTTGATTAACCAATGGAAACATGCACGTTGTTGTTATCAGTGCTCGAGGGCCCTGCAATTTAGTCTTAGATTCATTTTTCACATAGCTATTATTATCTATTGTTAAATTCTATCCAATATGGTGATTATCACACTCCTGCGCAAATTTGCGTCTAATTTAAACGAGCTCCTCTAATTCTCTAATAATAATAATACATAACCATTTAACTCTCATTTAGAAATGTCATCATTACAATATATACTATATGAAAAAAATAACAATTATTTAGTTTCCTACTTCTTTGAAAACATGTTGCGTGTTCAAGTAACTGGTAATTTGTGTCGCGCGCACCCTGAGTCAACAATTGAATTATACTATTGGACAGGTGGCATATTGGTTAAAGAAGACCGAATGGTTTTAGATTTTTTAAAAGTTATCTAAAGATTTGTTAAGTTATTCTTAATAATCTTGAAGGTATGATATTGTTACTCCGTTGCGAAAAATTGTAATCGATAGCGCAAGCGTCGGCAGTTGTGTACTACCATGTTATTTTCAGCGGCCACCATTCCTTTTAATCGTGTGCGGGTTGTTATGATGTCTGATTAAACTCAAATTCATGTATTTACAGGACCAGCGACTTCCACACTGAATAGGCTAATGCAACTTTATGCAACGTCTTTGACGACATCTCCCTGGAACATTATCTGAGTTACCAAATAAAATCATAGAAATGTCAATTGTGCGTGGTCATATTTTCGTTTCTATATTACATATGCGTTACTTTATAAGAATAAGAATATTTTACATCATATATTCCCGATACATATTTCATGGTTGAGACACGTTTCTATATTTCGTGAGCATAAACACTTTACAAAATGTGTTTCTGGTAAATTCGCTTTTAAAAAGCGTTGTGATAATAAGCACTTTTGTATACATGCTTTCAATACGTGTTTATATTGGAAACAAAAATGTGCAAAATGTGTTATGTGCAAACACATCCCTGAAATGTTGCAATAACAGCACTGACTGTAAGTGCTTTCTATATACGCACTTTTCGCAATTATGCAGATTATGAATATTGTCGATTTTAAGAAAAACACTTAAGGTGTTCAATTATAAACATATAAAGTGCGGACAAAAATGTGTCCTATATTAAAACAGATTTACAGTGTACCGGGCTATTTTCAAATTAAGTTGAGGGAAAACATACTTTTATTTTCAATATGGTCTAGAGTTGTTGAAATTCAGTTTATATCTTTTGTTTAGCATTCAGTGCTCGTTGGCAAATCTCTGTCAGTAGCTTCCATGGGACATATTTAGGCTGATCTGAGTGCACTAAATGCTCATAAAAATAATTCTACAGAAGAAAGAGTATGCCGACCAGATCAATGTTTTTGAATTGATCAGTAGACGAGTTATCTGATTCGCAGTGACAAAAATGTAATAGCTTATTTTGACAAGTATTTCGCTTGAAACTGCTGATCACAGAGACTTCGAGTGCGAGTCAATCCATGAATCGGAAAGGTTATATATTAATTAGCTTGCAAGTAACCACTACTGATAAATTCCATTGGAGATAGAGAAGTACAACAAAAGTACAGAATAAATAGTAGAAGTCACCGAATCAGCTTATTTTGAAAGCTTTACAATTAAGAACATGTATGTATACTTTGTGTAATTCAATTACAGACTTAAACATGATATATCTGACTTGTGTGTTTCTGCAACAAATGATATTGTGCGGTTATGTGTCTTGTATATTTGTGTTATCTTGTGCTGGCATGCCACATATTTGCTCAGAATTTCCGTAATATGTCTGCGAATATACAAACACAAAATGCATAAATAATGTAGTAGTAGTAGTATGTTCTGGCAACGAGTGCAGTAAAGAAGTAAATCTATGTACAGCATAATTGAAGTACATACCACAGAAAGCCGGTTTGTAAACATAGTGGAATTATCATTTCTGGCGATATGTTCAACACCCCAGGATGATTTGTTCATTGTTCACTATTACTACATTTACTTATGAGTGACTCTGTATTAATAACATTAAGTCTAGCCCACACACACAAATTTAGACTAGAATCGATAGATCTCGCATAGTCACGTGTTTTCACCCCCCCCCCCCCAATTTGAGACGTGTCTGCCTCAAATCGTCCACTTTATCTACACCACAATGGTGTAGTCGCTAATAGACATGAGATCAACCATGATTATATATAAATAAAAAATCAAAACGTGCCGTAAGGAGAAGAGAATGAAACAAACAGGGCGCTGAAAAGAATAATACAGAAGGGCTACTGATAATTGTTATTGTATTTCTTTTCTATATTTTATTAGCGCTCTCTGTCGTTTGAATGTGCTGCAGAATGTATGGTATACTGTTTTAACTCGTTTTTAAGCTACAAAGTATTTAAACACTCATTCATCTAAACTTTTTGGGGGTCGTCATCTTCATTACAATATAGTCCAGCGTAAATTGCAACGCCCCCGACAAATACATCGTTTTCAAATGCCGTCACTCATTTTCCAATTATTTGATAGATCGCATAGTTTGAACATATGCTCGCTAAAGTCAGGAATAATAGTATATGAGTCATCATCATAATGTGGATCATAATTCTATTAATCTTTTGGAAAAACGGTAAAAAATTGCAAGGTTTTCAGGAAATCCTAAATTAAATTTGAAGGTCGTAGCCGTTTTAACGTCACAAACTCGTTTGAGTTAGACGTGAAAGATTTGTTCATAAGAGAAAATGTTCTATCTCATATAGATCAGCGTAGCGCCGTACATGCGTGACACTTGTGTTAAAAAAATTCAATGTCGAATAAATTATGCTATGACTTTCGAATTTAAAAAAAGATGGTAGCGGTTATTTTGCAAAAGTAGGCACTGAAGACCGATTACACAATAACATACAAAGTATCAACTCACCTGCTCCGATCCCGATGGGCAAAAGAAAAGAACAACAAGGGTGGTAAATGTATTTATAAAAATGCCAATAGTACTCAGCGTTGTCGGAGCTACCCAATGTGGAATCTTTAAACATAGCCAATTCCAAAATGGCTGCATCAAATATCCGCAAATAGATAAGTCGTCCGACGAGTAAACAAATTCAGAAAGATTCTTGAGGTGATCGCTCGTTAAAATCATGTTTTTTCTTCTATCATTGCTTACTGCAGTCGCCTTCGACGGTATGGAAATAGTTGTGAAAAATGCGCACAGCTCGAGTGTAGCTGTCAGTACGAACCAATAATTTACCATGACTTGTCTAAAGTGTCTGCGATCGTCGTTCCACATCAATGATTACCATTGTTACATGTTGAAAGCAATATCGACCAAGCAGAACCCAATTAAATAATCTCAGACTGACAATTAGGTCACGCATTGTTCGGTGTCTTCAATGATGAATTGGAAGAATACAATACCTTGTTGAAATACGCCGTATGTCTAACGTTTTTATTAGTTGAGATTTTACAATTGTAAGCTTATATTAACATTTTAAGCGTACTACTTCACCAATAGACGGCACAGGGTGTATTCGATTAGCAGTGTGTTTATCGTGTTATTGACAAACATGTATATACATGTATATGCTTGACTGTGCCATGTAAGTAAGGGCTTTGCTTGTCCACACGACCCTGTTCGATTCACACTCTTCAAGTGCACAAGTGTCTACGAGATCACACCATTTACACTTTTTGAAGGACTGACCCGATCTAATCTCCTCACATGCGCGAAATATCACACTTTTTTGAACAATTAAATATCTGAAAAGTATAATATTATCAAAATCCAGTAAGTAATGTATAATTGTTTCAAGCAATGCGATATTTGAATCAGAAATATGCGATGTAAAATATTATTGTTGTTATAAACTAACGCGTATTTAATATGAAAATATGACCACACACCATTAACACGAATTGAACTGCATTTTCCTGTTAAATTCTATATTTTTTTAAATTTGTATTTGGTAACTAAGATCTTGTCAATGGGGGGGGGGTTGTCGGCATGGACGAAATGCATTATATAATACTCTGGTTCTGTAAATGCATGAACTTGAGTTTAATCAGTTATCCCGCACATAAATAAATGCATGGAGGCCGCTGCAAATATCAATGTAGTATACAACTGCCGACGCTGGCTATCAATTACACTTTCCGCACGCTTCGAAACAATATAACAATATCATCATACCTTCAGGTTTGTTCAGGATAACGTCCGACTCCCTTATTTCGGTTCAAGTTGTTATTGTTACTTTAACGAATATGCCACCTGTCCACACACTCCCGATAGTATAATTCAACCATGTATGAGCATACGCGCGACACAAGTTACCTGTTACTTGAACACGCAACATACAATAGTGTTCATCGTAAACCCCGTCGTTTACGAAAGATATCTCAAAATATTTGCAAAGAAGTAGCAAGCTAATTTATTGTTCAGTATTTATTTTCATATTGTATTTATTTTATTAATTAAATTTATAAATAACATTTAAATGGTTGTGAATTATTAGAGGCTTAGAGGAGCTCGTTTAAATAAGACGCAAATTCGAACAGGTACATGGTAATCACCATATTGGCATTCAACACCAAGGCTCCGCTAATAGTATAAGAGCTGTAAAGACATTGAATCAAATGATTAGATCACAGAGACTTAACGTATGTTTAGCGCAGCATCATTCAGCTTACTAACACGAGCATTGATAACAACACCGTGCATGTTTTATTCCATCAGTTATTCAACTTGTGACATGTTCATGTTATGCACAATCGCAAAATAATAAAATCGATAATATAATCGCTACACGCACAGTATGACATGCTGACAAATGTGACATGTGTGAGCATTCTTTTCAATAAATATGCTGCATACAGTCGATAATAAGGACTGTGTACAATATAGATGCATACAAAAGTGTCCTATGAGAACACTTATCTAATCTTATGAAATAACAGTTCTATTTTACCCTTTACCGAGTGCCATTTTTAACCATCAACAGTTATAAACATTAACAACTTTCATACCCAGTGAACGAAATCTCGTAAAACAGCATAATATTCTATTTCAACATTGGAAATGTATTGAATGTGCAAGTATTCTCACAAGAATATCAATAAACAGACATCACAAAACTGAGGTTGAATGTCATATAGAAATAAATAAATAACACCTCAAAATGGCCATTAGTGACCCCCCCCCAGTGATGAGACGGAAGTACGCAATCTGAAAAAAGATGTATGGTAAAACAAAATTAGAGAATTAACGTTATAGTCACAAAGTGAACAAATCTCAGTGAAGACACCCAAAGTTACCGGCCTAACATACACAGAACAATACTGCTAGCAAGAATGATGCAGGTAGTGAGTTAAATATTCTTTTCACAGTCATTTCCACATTTACTGTCAGATCCATATAAAATGTGACCTTTGCCTTGGAGTAGACATTCTGTACACTTCCAAAAAAGTGATGTTGTATTAAATTTATAAGATTAACTTGTAATTAAGTGAACATTATTATTTATTTTTTTCTTATCTTATTAACAGGTCTGTGTTGTCAGCATGAGATGTGTATTTTTTTTATTTCAATTAATCAATAATGATTGTTTTCACTTATGCATTCTAGAGTTACTATATTTAAATCACTGTGCAAGTTTACACCTTGATGAAAGTTTTGTAACTTGTGTTTTTTCCCTTTAACCCATGCTTGTACACCCAGCGTGTTTGTTGCTTATGTATGTTAGATTGTATATGAAAGTTTAAAAGTATCATGGCCTAATTTTGAGGTGCTATCAGTATATTTGTGTACAAGGATAAATTGAATTTGTTTGTTGAATATAAATGTTTTTTTTATTGTTTTTTTTATTAAATAACTTTTCATTCAGTGATCATTGCTAATTGTTACATTGTGATACTTGAAATGGCAGGATAACACATCATTGGTAGAAATCTTTAAAATCTTTTGTAGATGCATGGGACAAAGTAAGGAAATGTACTAAATTGAGATGCCCACATTGTACGTACCTGAATTGAATTAGGTAGTGAGTTAAATACATTGTAAGCCAACTGTCTACAATAGTTGCCTTTTGACAAAGCTCTGAGGCTGGAAAAGGAGTGCAAACTTTTTGGGGGTCCGATTACACCGGAATTCATAGACGATATCCCTATTCAGAGCAAGTCATCGTTTTGTTTTATTTTCCTTTAGGTATATACTTAGTGCAAATGTATTATAAGCTTATTAACAAAATTACTTATGTTCCATCTCAGTACATTTACATCATATACCTGATACATTGAATGAGATGTGATGTAAATGGCATTTAGGTATTTATTGCTAGTAAATTGTCAGTGATCCGGCCATGGCCTGCTGTTTGACAAGTTGGTGTATTCTGAAATTCATAGGTTACAGCAATTTGTAGATTTATAATTAATTGTATTCACATTCATGCATCCATGTATATACTCATAATAGTCAAGAATGTTCTATTATTTTTTCTGGAGTTAGCTGAGATTATTAGAGCTCATCTCAACATACTTTAAAACATCAAAATGTTTACACATGAATTTATTATAAGTTTATATATGAAAGGTTAATTACGTTGATCATCCCAGATTAAAGTACTGTGTAATTGTTTAACTAGGCAATTGTTATCATACTGTTAGACAGTAGATAACAGTTGAACCTGTTAAAACGAGCACAGAACTAGAAACAAACTTTCATTCTTGGGATATGTGATCTTTAAGTGAAGAATCATAAATTGTTTTTTTCAAAAATTTCAAGTCATGAACAGTCTGAAAACAATAGTATTGTTAAGTTTCCATAACTAACTATACTGTATTATATGCTAAATTCTTCACGTCTGCGCGTGTTTTGGTCATGGTATGATCGGATTGTTGCTGCACTCTATGCCAAGCACATACTGATTATATTTCAAATTGTACCAAGCATTTTGATCCCAATCGTTTGTACAGTGCTTGCAAGTTCTGATAATGTTCTAGTCTGAAAAAATAATATAAAATATTAAATTGACATTCTGCTTCAGCAAAATTTTATTTTAAACCGTTGTTGAATACATTGAAACAAGTTATTTCTACTAATGTATTCAGCACCTCGTCAACTGCAACATCTTTCTGAAAATGTTAGGTCAGCTTCAACGGTAATACATGCATAAGTTATATTATTGTTCATTGTGCTGTATGTCTGTCTGTTTTAGGTGGCTGTACCTGTTTGTGCAGAATACTTGAAATGTTTGACTAACTTCTCAATAGTATCCATTTTATTGTGATAATATGGGATAATTCTAAGGAATGATTTGATAGTCCCCGTTCGGATGCAGTTCGAAAACAGGGACTTATATTTTAACCTTTGTGCGTCCGTGCATCCGTGCGTCCGTCCGGCCAGTATCTTAGACATGCCTGAACCAATTATATTCAAACTTCGCACATATATTCATTTATTTCATGATTTGATTCAAGATGGCCGAATGGCGGCCATTTTTGTGCTGAAAAATCATCAAAATCATGCATTTCTCGGTATATGGATTAGACCTTGATGCAAGAAATTTTGTTTTTCAGATAAAATTCAAAATGGTCGAGTGGCGGCCATTTCGCTTCAATGAATGTGGTTCTAGTACCATAACTCTGGCTTGCTTATTTATGGGTTCCTAATGCATGTCATTTTATTTTTCAGATCGGATTCAAATTGGCTGACTGGCGGTCTTTTTGTTTTAAAGAAGTGGCTTCTAGAGCCATATCATTGACATGCTTTGTCTGATTATGTTCAAATTTCATATATTCATTATACATCATGTTATAGATATATACATGTATTGAAAATGGTTGATTTTGTTTTAATTATTGCTGTGCCAGAGCAATATCTCTCAAACTGAACAAGTACTCGTTTGACGATCAGATACATCATCATAATCATATTCCTGACATGGTTATATTCCAGCTATATATAAACAAAATTATAAACCTTAAATTCAATAACTAACGTGGACTGTGCCATGCATTTTTGGTAAATGAAATCTGTCATCTGAAACTAAAGATAATTTAATTATTTCTTCATTGCTTTTTAACAATTCTTTCCATTAGAAAAGCCATTATGGAAACAATATTTATATATGGTCATCTTGAAAAATGTAG